ACATGTCCATTTATCAATACAATGCATTGGTCAGAATCAGCCCCTCCTTCCTAGTCTCGTCCACTTTCTTTGTCCCACTTTCACACATAGATTATCCCCACTCCGTTGGATCTCTTACCCCTCTCAGTTCACCTGCCCCCTCCCAGCACTACCCACACCCACTCCAGACATACTTTCACTTCCTGATGTGCTTCCTCCTCACACTGCCCGTCCACTGCTCAGAGTGATTTCACCATAGTACCTCACGCCCACCAATACCAGGGTTTAGCTAGGTGGGCCGTATCATGCATGGGATCCTCTATGTGTTTGCATGTATGTTTTTGCTGGGGGCCTGAGTTTGGGGCCAAGAGGAAAGAGAACTTAGGTCCTTCTGGAATCTCTCCTGAGAACTCAGACAGCCCTGGGGAGGGGGTAGAATTCTTCTCAGAACTGGCTCCAAGTCTTGGAAAGGCTGGTTCCCAGGGGATCTCCTTCTCCAGCCTTCCCACCCTGTCTTTCTGGTTGGTCTATGGATTCCTCCCCAGCTGTTCTTCACGGCCTGGTGTAGTGGCAAGAAGTTTTGTGGGTTCCCAGCAAACTCTCCTGGACAGCCACATCAGCCTCCTCCCTAGAGTTCCTAGTTAGGAGAGATAAAGGCCTGTCTTTGACTTTGTCTGCCAGGCAGTCAGGAGACAGATCAAAACAAACAAACAATTCTTTGCTAAGGAGGCCTAGGCTGCCCCCTGAGAGCCTGTCTACCACTGAGCTAGAGAGGAGGGAATAAGAACAAGGAAAAACAAAATTGCCCCAAAATTCAGCATGTCTACCAAAATTTAGCCAATTTTTCTTAATCAGTCAACCCTGATTGCTGCTTATTTGTTTAAAGCAGTTGACCAAGTTCAGATTACAGATTCACAGATGACTTACTTGTTTGGTTTCCTTTCTGGTTTCCTAAAGTTAATGTTTCCTTTGAATATTTTTAAATTTCATCCATTTTGTTCATTTGTTTTTGTACTTACTGCTACATTCTACCCAAACTCTCCACTGCAATTTCTAGCATGTCTTTCCACATCAGTAACTTATAATTTCCATTTTTACAAACCTCTTACTCTTTCTCTCTGGACTACAGTTCTCCCAAACTTTTCTCTTCACTATCATCCCTAAAATTCCCTTGCTTTTCTTCTGGTTTGTTTTCTCTAACACCTCTGTCTCTGGCTTCCTCTTATTCTGTTGAATGTATCCTTCAGTCATTTCATTATGTTAAAATATTTGGCACATGATTTTTGCTTTCTCTAGTTATAGCTTAATAAAATTATAAGAAAAAATTTAAAACATTAGCACAGTGTCAGAGGACCTGATAACACAAGCATTTTATATCCTTGTCTCTTTTTAAAATTAATTTATTGTTATTGTAAAGGTGATGTGCTGAGGGCTTACAGTTGCATAAGTCAGGTAATGAGTAGCATTCTTTTTTAACAGTGTCAGCCCTTCCCTCATTCTCCCACTTTTTCTGGCCTATTCCCATGAGTTGTATAGTTCATTTTCAACACAGTGTCTAGTGAGGGTCTGCTACATTTGTTCACCCTTCGTTCCACCATTTCTGGGCTTCCCTTTACCTTCCTAAAGACAGATCAATGAACAAACAAGACAAAGGGAAATAAAAACAAAAACAGCAACAAAGAAAAAAACCCCATCTCTTAGCGCTCATTTTGATAAATACTATTTTATATGGTCATATGCACATAGTTATTGAGCCACTGTTATCCTCTCCTAAGAATATCCTCCCTTGGTCTCACTATGTGAATGCTTAGAGACCTGTATAATTTATCATGACCCAGGGTATTTTTTTTCTCTTACCATCCAGTGTGCTTACTTGTAGATTTATAGGCACATTCTAGTTACCACAGATGAGGGAGACCATGCAGCCTATGTTTCTCTAGGTCTGATTTACTTCAGGTAATTTTTTCCAAGTATTCCCATTTCCTTAAAAGTGATACAATATCATTCGTTCCTGTAGATGAGTAGAATTCCATTGTGTGTATACACCACCTTTTCTTGATCCATTCATCAACTGAGGGGCATCTGGGTTGATTCCCCATGTTGGCTATGGTAAACAATGTTGTCATGACATGGATTGCTTTAGTGTGGCCTTGTGTTCTATTAGATAAATGACCTATTCTTATCTCTTGAGATAAACTTAGCCTTAGTTGACTTTTATACCTGAGTTATCTGTCTCCATAAGAAATCCACTCACCATCTTCCTAGAATTTTCCCTACTTTATTTAGTGTCTCTTCTGATTTCTTGGAATGCACCCTTATTTTGGGTAAATAGTCACCAAGAAAGACTACCTTGGAGAAATGCTTTGAAAATCTGTGCTTAAAAACTACTTTATGTGGCCAGGCACCAATGGCTCACGCCTGTAATCCTAGCTACTCAGGAGGCTGAGATCTGAGGATCGCGGTTCAAAGCCAGCCCGGGCAGGAGAGACCGTGAGACTCCTATCTCCAATAAGCCACCAGAAAACCAGAAGTGGCGCTGTAGCTCAAGTGGTAGAGCACTCGCCTTGAGCTGAAGAGCTGAGGGACAGCGCCCAGGCCCAGAGGTCAAGCCCCATGACCAACAAAAAAAAAAAAAAAAACCAAACTACTTTATGTGGGTGCTGTTGGCTCGTACTTGCAATCCTATATACTCAGGAAGCAGAGATATGAGGATCACACTGGAGGTGTGACTCAAATGGTAGAGCTCAAGGCTTGAGCAGAAAATGCTAAACAAGAGCACAAGGCCTTGAGTTCAAGCCCCAATAACTGCACAAATAAGAGTGCCCCCCAAAGGATTGACTATATTGCCTTAGTAATTTTGATATTGAACAGGAAGAGGAGGAAGAGGAGGAGGAGAAGAGGAGAAGAGAAGGAAGAAGAAAAATTTTCTGAAATCACATTTAAATAGAACTGCTAGGTTCTGCAACAAATTACATTAAATTTTAAAAACATGATGTTCCACTAAATTTGAATTCCATTTAAAATGTAATTTTTAACAATGATGCATGTCAAGTCTGTTTTATCCAACAACCTTACATTTAAATAGTTAATTGCTCTGTCAGGGAAATCCCTTGGTGAGGTTTGTTGTGGCTCTGAAGGCTTAACATTAAGATGCCACAGAAGAAGGCTAGAAATTGACCGCTGACACAGTACAGAGGACAGTTTTAATCCCTGAGTAATGAGCCGCTGGCCTGGGAACAGAATGAAGACATCCATCGCTGGGCTTCTTGCTTCAGATTTTCTCCTTCTCTGTCATGGTACCAGCATCAGGATCCCAGCAGAAGAGCCTGGATTCCAATGCATTTCCCATGGTGCAAAGTCTATCTCTGGCTTTTTTTGCTAGCTAATTTGAAATAAGAGTCTCATGGAATTTGCTTCTTAGGCTGGCCTTAGATCTCAGCCTGCTGAGTAGCTAGAATGACAGGCGTGAGCCCTGGCCTTCTGGAAGGACATCTTGAGGTTTGGACACACACATCTTAGCACTCTCTGCAGGTGGGTGCAAAAATAAGGTGAAATCTAAAATCTGGACAGAACCTCAATAGTCTGGTTTCACTTTAACAAAGTAATAAAACTAAAACAATTCTACCCTTCAGAGCTGTTTATCACCTGAAGCTTCCAACTTGCTGATTTGTGCTGTAATGAATTAGCTGACTGCAAGTCCAAAGATGCTATCTTCATGCCAATGCATTCATACTTAGCATTTCGATTTCAATAAAGCTTCTGCACATATTTGCCAAAATGCCACTGAAGTAATTACAAAACACCGCTCCCCACCCCGGCCCCTGCCTCCAACATCCACTGCCTTCAATATCATCAGCGGCTCTGGATCTAGGCTTATTGGAAAATGTTAATAACCCATCAATCTTCTTTATCAGAAAATTTCATGGCACCACTGTCTTAACGTACACGTACTTACTGATTTTAATTTTGTACAGAAAACATGAGGGAGTACAATAGTTCAAATGTGCAGTCATCTACAAAAGTAATGCAAAGAGTATAATAATCTAACACTGGAAAAGGTTTTCATATGATCAAATATTTAGCAAGTTGATCAATACAAAGTTCAAATTATATAGAAGAAATATATACATTGATAAATAATATATTAATATATTACAGTGCATACAGTATACATATAGTATATTATTGTATAGTGTTGTATAGTATACATTTAGTAATATATGTATTAATGTATAATTACATAAGTATGTAAGTATATATGTAACATAATTATATATTATATAACATATAATATATATTATATATAATTACATGTAACACATCTTTACCCTGTCAATGTCATTTTGCAATTTTGCAAATTACAAATTACTTAATCAATAATGCAGCTTTGAAAAAGCATGATTAAATTTAAGTAGTAAGTCCAGGAAGATGTGACCATTAATTCCAAAAGAATTCAGGTGCATCTAGGCATCGGTGGCTCACACCTGTAATCCTCACTGCTCAGGAGGCTGAGATCTGTGGATTGCAGGAAAGTCCATGAGACTCAACTCCAAACAATCGTCAGAAGTGGAGCCATGGCTCAGATGGTAGAGCTCTAGCCTGGAACAAAAGCACCCAGGCACTGAGTTCAAGCCCAAGACACAATTTCTCTCTTTGTCTCTCTCTCTGTCTCTCTCTGTCTCTCTGTCTCTGTCTCTCAGTCTCTCTCTCTCTCACACACACACACACACAAATCAGATGCATAAAATACAAGTTTGGATTCTTAGAAAGTGAATGAAAATTCAGAGCTCAAATCGTGCAGCTCCTTGCCTGGGCATAAATTTCTGTTCCATTCTGTGTCCGTGGTTAGTTTCTGTTACCGGATTGGCAAATTCAGGGGGTGGGGTCAAAGGTGGGCCTGAATGGAGTGAGAAACACCCCCACTCTTGGTCTCCCTACTTTTGGACCCTTCCTCCCTGTCCAGCATCGACTTCTCTGTTCTGCGATCCCAGGGTTGAAATGACCGGGGCCATCCGCACCAGCACCGGTAACCGCAGCTGGTTCTTCTTTTCTCTTCTTTGGGAAAACTGGACGCGATGCGCTGGCCGCGGAGCCTCTTCCGTGGACGGGTCTCCTCCGTGGACGGGTCTCCTCCGTGGACGGGTTCTCCGTGGACGGGTCCCCTCTGTGGACGGGTCTCCTCCGTGGACGGGTCCCCTCCGTGGACGGGTTCTCCGTGGACGGGTCCCCTCCGTGGACGGGTCTCCTCCGTGGACGGGTTCTCTATGGATGGGTCCCCTCCGTGGACGGGTTCTCCGTGGACGGGTCTCCTCCGTGGACGGGTCTCCTCCGTGGACGGGTCTCCTCCGTGGACGGCTCCCCTTCGTGGACGGGTCCCCTCCATGGACGGGTCCCCTCCGTGGACGGGTCTCCTCCGTGGACGGGTCTCCTCCGTGGACGGGTCCCCTCCGTGGACAGGTCGCCTCCGTGGACAGCTCCCCTCCGTGGACGGCTCCCGCCTCCGCCCTGGGCGGCCTGGCCCTCGGGCACTCCCCCTTCCCTTACCTCGCGCCTTCTCCCCGCAGACGCTGCACGCCCAGGGCCCACGCTCTTCCCCGCGGATTCTCCAGCCTCCGGCCCCGGGTCTGCGCTGCCCTCGCCCGCACCTGCGCCCTGGGACGCCAGCGGCTCACCCACGAGGAGCCATGACGCGCGTGGAGACCGCGAAGGTGCGGACCGGTCCGCGGCCCCGGGGTGGCCGCACCTCACCGCGGGCCCCAGCACCGCAGGCCCCAGCACCGCAGGCCCAGGCCGGGGCGCAGAGCTCGTGGTGTTCTTCAGCCTGCGCGTGGCCAACCTGCCCTTCTCCCCGGACCTGGCCGACAGGAGCTCGCCCGAGTACCGCGCGCTGGAGCGGCGCTTCACGCAGCTGGTGCGTGCACACGCGTCTCCTGACTCCCCTCCCGCTGTCTGTCTGTCTGTGGCGTGGCGTGGCGTGGGTCTCCTCTGACTCCCCTCCCGCTGTCTGTCAGTCTGTGTTTGTCTGTGGCGTGGCGTGGGTCTCCCCTGACTTCCCTTCTGCTTTCTGTCTGTCTGTCTGTAGCATGGCATGGGTCTCCTCTGACTCCGCTCCCGCTGTCTGTCTGTCTGTCTGTCTGTCTCTCTGTCTGTGGCATGGCATGGGTCTCCTCTGACTCCGCTCCCGCTGTCTGTCTGTCTCTCTGTCTGTCTCTCTGTCTGTGGCATGGCATGGGTATCCTCTGACTCCCCTCCTGCTGTCTGTCTGTCTGTCTCTCTGTCTGTGGCGTGGCATGGGTCTCCTCTGACTCCCCTCCCTCTGTCTGTCTGTCTGTGGCGTGGATACTCATGGGATACTCATCGTCTTGTACAATGCAGGTTAGAGGAATCCCCCTTGGAGAGGAAGGGGGGGGGGGGAAGGGGGGACCAGCTCTCAGCTTACCTGTCTGTGCTTGGGGGTCCCTGGGTGTGGAGTTTGTGGGTTCATCCTTGGGCCAGATGTGTTACTGGAAAGCCAGCAAACCTCATCAACTTCCATCCTTGAGTCCAACAGAAAAACTGAAGCAAAATGAGACTTCGTGAAAGGGATAGGCAAGAAATAGGTTGGGAGAGGAGGAGGACAGGACCATGAGGCCCGGGAAAATGGCACTTTGGATCCTCTTCAGCCCTCTTTGGGGTATAGACAGGAGCACTCAAAGAAGGCACAGTTTGCTTGATTTAGGAGTGCAAGCTGGCAGTGTGGCCTGGTTGCCCTGGTGGCAGAGAAAGGGGTCGCTGGGGGCATTTGAAGGTCGCTATCTGGTTCTCATGAGATGATTTCTCTGACTCCAGGTGCGGCTGCTCATTATTGGTAATTGTCCCCTGTGGGGGTTAATCTGGCCTGCAAAGAGCAGTCCTTGGTCATAACGATACTACTGATCCATCCTGTCTTTCCTGGAACCCACTGTGATTAACTGTAAAGTGATCCTATGAACAGCTTAGAACCAGGACAAACACAAAATGGAGGCCCGGGTACCAGGCCTTCCTCTTGCTTTCCTTGAATTCAAGGCCGCCAAGACCAGCTGAGCACCCAGGACGCACCCTCTCCGGAGACGGCAAGGGTTTGGGTCTTTGCTGAGATCGCCTGTGAGAAATTCCTATCGTTGGGGAAGGCTGCAGAGCTCTGCCTGAGTCCCCAAGTTGAATTGCCATATTTATTTCGCAGCGCATATGTGATCCCATCATCCCTGTTCGATCTCTTTGCCTTTCCTCGCTGCTTGTGGCTATGGGGGATGAGGCAGAAACCACTTAGGATTCAAATATTTCTGGGGAATGACCTTGGAGATGATCGGAGGCTCTGTAGAGACAGCCACAGAACAATGCCCTAAGGGTCCTTCCAGTCATTAAGTTCCAGTTTAGAGAGAAGCCTCTGAGAACCACTTTCTCCCCTCCACACACTGCAGATAAGGGGGTGGACCTACATCGCAATGGTCCCCCAGGGGGATGAAGGCCAGGAAGCTATTTCCAGCCAAGTTGGCCCAGGACCCATTCATTGCCTGCCTAGACTGACAGAGCTTGTTTATCTGATAGGTCTGGTCACTTACATAGACTCCCATTTATTTATACAAGCCTAGGTCAGTCTGCTCAACATATTTTGTTTACTTTTTTTAAAAAAACAAAATTACTAAATGTAGCCTGGCACCAATGGCTCATATCTGTAATTCTAATACTCCGGAAGCTCAGATCTGAGGATCATGGTTCCATGCCAGCCCAGGTAGCAAAATCAATGAGACTCATCTCCAATAGAGGGCCAGCCTTGAGCAGAAAAAGCCAAGCACGAGTCCCAGTTCCAGTGCACATGTGTGCGTGTGTGCACATGTGCACACATACCACACACACATACACACACACAGTGACTAAACCTAGCATTTCTTGCCGATTTCATTGGCTTGGGTTTAAAAAGAAAATCATCTGTTCTTACAAATCCTCATAAGGAAGTATCTGGCCATCCATCTCAATGGACTGATAACAAGGTAGAAACTCAGCCATGATTATTGCAAATAGGCACTGAGTAGCAGTGCTCTGGGCTCCCATGAAATCTAAAAATAAAAGTAAGAGCCAGGAACTCATGGTTCACACCTTTAATCACAGCTACCCAGGAGACTGAGCTCTGAGGATGGAGGTTTGAAGCCAGCCTGAACAAGAAAGTCTTCATGAGACTCTCATCTCCAATTGATCACCAAAAAGTAGTAGAGTGAAAAAACTAAGAGAAAGCACCCAAGTCCTGAGTTCAAACCCCAGTAGCAGCATAACACTATAAGAACAATAAAAATTAAAAAAAAAAGAATTGAGATAGATGTCTTGAATAGTAGGAAGTGAGGAGAAGTGGAATCCGCGGCCCTGAGCACTTAGAGCACAATAACTGGGTAACCGCTCTTTTGTTTGCAGCTGGTCCCGTATCTGCAGTCCAATCTCACTGGATTCAGGCAGCTGGAAATACTCAGCTTCCGCAATGGGAGCGTGATCGTGAACAGCAAGGTGCATTTTGCTCGCTGGGTGCCCTACAACCTCACCCAGGCTGTGCACGGGGTCCTGGAGGATTTTCGGTCCTCAGCAGCTGAACTGGACCTGGAAATTGACAGCAACTCTCTCAACATTGAACCAGGTAAACCCAGCAGAGTGCCTGGAGGGTCATTTGAGGGGGGGGATTCCCTTTGTTTTGATTTTGAGCAGGCTAGGTAACTCCCAAGCCACAAAAGTGTAATTAAAATCACACTTGATAAAAACAACTTTTGGGGAGCAACCCCCCCCCATTAGGAAGGAAGCAGCTGGTTAATGTTTTTCTACATCAAAAGATAGAGTAAGCAGCACCTGGGGCTCTGCCTGGAATCCTAGCTACTCAAGAGGCTGAGATGAGATCTGAAGATCACACTTCAAAGCCAGCCCAGACAGGAAAAGTCCACGAGATTCTCATCTCCAATAAGCCACCAGAGTCTCTCATCTTCAATTAACCACTAGACAACCAGAAATGGTTCTGTGGCACAAAATGGTAGAGCATTAGCCTTGAGCAAAAGAGTTCAGGAGCCTTGGCCCAAGCCCTGAGTTCAAGCTTCATGACCAAGAACAATAAGAGAGAAAGAGACAGAGACAGACAGACAGACAGACAGACAGACAGAGACAGACAGACGGACAGACAGAGAGAGAGAGAGAGAGAAGAAAGCTTTCATTCCAGAACAACTTCCTTTTACTTTGTAGCTCCAGGCTAAGCTAATTTACATTAAGCTAGAAGTCAACAGTACTTTCTCAGTTAGTGACCTAAAACAAACAATCTGAGGGTTTTTCTTTTGTTTTTTTTAATGTATCTTTGTTTTCTTTAAGTAGTTGTACGGAGGAGTTGCCTTTTCAACAGAGCAGTTTGTGAACACAGGGCCTCTTAATCAAAGACACCCCTTTCATCATTCTCCCCCCTCCCCCCTCTCCCCTTCCTTCGCTTTGCTTAATTTTTAGGTTATATATTGAATTTTTTGCCATTTACCAAAGCAATGTATGTGTACAGTGCATCTTGATCTGTGTCGTCCCTTCCACATCTCCACCCCTCTTCCCCCCATCCCTGTCCTTACTTTCCTCAGTTCTGTGGCAGACAATGCATGCTTGCCTGCATTCTATTCATTGTCCCTGTTCATGCTTCTACCCCTCTGCTCTTGACCCCTGACCCTTGCAAGTACCTGTTTCCTAGTACTTATTTTGGTTTCTATGTTAGAAAGCTTCCAGTCACTGTAAATTCTCAGAATGGCCCCTTAAGGAGAGGAAAATAATCAGATCAAAATCTCAACCTGAAGTGATTTACTTCATAGTCACTAAAGAAAGAACAAAATAACTTTCTTTCCCAGTTTTATGTCCAAGGTCAGCTTCTATATAAGAATAAAACAAAGAGTTAGCTGGAACAGTATAGTAAAATTCAAATATGAAGCCAGCCAGGTGCTGCTGGCTCTGCCTGGAATCCCAGCTACTCAGGAGGCTGAGGTCTGAGGATCATTGTTCCAAGGCAGCCGAGGTAGGAAAGTCTGTGAAATGCTCATCTCCAATTAATCACCAAAAGTCCGGGAAGTAGAGGTGTGGCTCAAGTGGTAAAGTGCTAACCTTGAGCAAAAGCCTGAATTCAAGCCCTGACTGGCATACACACCACACACACACACACACACACACACACACACACACACACACACACACACATTTCCTTCTATAATGAAGCAGAGTGAATATAATGGGTGATGTGTACACCACAAGCTGTTTTTATTATTAACTTCAAAGTTTTGTTTTCTAAGCATCTGAAGGAAGTGTATTTGTTCCTGGAGTGTCCGATAGATTTCACACCCTTGACCTCTGACCAGAATGAGCTTCTAGTGAGGTTCAAATCGCAGCTCCCTGATCAGCCCTGAGTTAGTGAGGTGAACCTTGGCTGTGCCTTCTTGGCTCTCCATGGGCTGATCAGGGATGAGGCTGAGGGAAAAGGCCTTGGGCAAAAATGCAAGCCCAGAAAGCTCAGTGGGAAACATTTATCACTGACAGAGCAGGCTTTGAAGCAACTGGAGGAAATTTGCCTTAGTACCTTAGTAAACAGGAGCCTTAAAAAGACACCAGCCTAAGGCACTAACACTGCTAGGAGCTCCTCCAAAGGGTGGCAGATGAGTGTACCCTAGAACACCCCAAGAAAAAGAGACCTTCCAAATGCCAGTGGGGTGGGGTGGAGAGGGAAGTAGGGGTCCTGCCAGTTATGATGGGGTGTCTTCTTCCTGTCAGCCATTGATAAAGAAGATAGGAAGGATATCACACGTGATGTGAGGGCCCGCCCCTCCATCCTCACTCCAGCTGAGAGCTGAGAGTGTTTAGGGACCATCCAGCTTTTCAGTGTCTGTGTACAGAGTCAGGTTAGTCAAGCACCAGTGGCTCACGCCTGTAATCCTAGCTACTCAGGAGTCTGAGATCTGAAGATCACAGTTCAAAGCCAGCCCTGGACAGGAAAGTCTGTGAGACTTTATCTCCAATGAACCACCAGAGAAACAGAAGTGGAGCTGTGGCTCAAAGCACTAGCCTTGAGCAAAAGAGCTCAGGTACAGCACCTAGGTCCTGAGTTCAAGCCACACACTGACAAGAAAAAAAATCAAGTTAAAGCTGGGGAGATTGTTGTGCTGTTGAGCACAAGATATGTTTAGCATGAAGGTGAGAAGGTGGTAGTGCTTGCTAAGTCTATAAAGAACACTGGTTGATACTAGAAGGACCCACATAGGCCATGGGTATCCATAGCCTTGCATTTGAATCCTGTGTACTTCTACTACTGGAACAATGTCAATCTGGAGCCAGACACTGTCATGCCTGTGAGCCTAGCTACTCAGGAGGTTGAGATCTGTGGACTGTGGTTCAAAACCAGCCAGGGCAGGAAAGTCCATGAGACTGCTATCTCCAATTAACCAGAAAAAAAAAAAAAAAAACCCGGAACTGGAGCTGTGGCTCAAATAACAGAGTGCTAACCTTGAGCAAACAAAGCTAAAGAACAGCACTCTGGCCCTGAGTTCAAGCCCCAGGACTGGCACGAAGAGAAGTCTCCATGGTCACTCTTGTGAGAATTAACCAAGCACATGCCTATGCTCCTGAGTATAAAAATCAACACACGGTACTTGCCTAATATATGTTAGTAATTATTACTGTAATAGTACCATCATTACCTTGACTATTAATCGTGACTTTCATAGAGTACCATCAGGAAGAAGAAAATGTGGATGTGGAGGTTGGAACTAAAATTAATTTCACTAATTTCTTGCGAACACTTCTGCTGTGTTGCTTTTCCTCTAAGCAGCCAGCAAATGTGAGATGGTGTTAACATCCATTCCAGCGCCAAACTTATGCTGAATTCCCCAAGCTGAAAGTGTCTCCAGCTGCCCCGAGGGAATGCAGGCCCAATTTGTACTTTTAGGGGGGACAGGGGTGGGGTGGGAAGAGTTGGGAGGGACCCAATGTCAAGTGCCACATGCCTTCCTGTGTCAGAGGGCCTGGGAAGAGGGCCTGTAGGCAGTCCAGAGCTTGCTTGAAACTGAGCCTGACCAGCTCAGAAACTTCCAGCACAGTAAAGGTGCTAAAACAAGAGGAAGCAGTACGTCTGAATGATAACTTTGAATGAATGAATGAATGAATGAATGAATGAATGGGCACTCATGTAATCTCTAAGGAAGACCGATACTTTTCAAAAGTCACTGAGGTGTTACCCTCAGCTTTTCAGTGAAGTCATAATCTATATTCCTTTCTAGATAAGGGAGGGTCCAAAAGCCTATATTTTAAAGTCATGGACAACTTAGAAATAAATGAATGAATGGATGGATGGATGAATGAAAGAAAGTAAGAAATCTGCTGGCAGCTAAAATACCAGCCATGTTTCCACCTTTCAATGTTTGACGGCAGAAGAATTCGAAAATCAAATACAGCTTTAGAGAAGTTAAAGAATGTCTCTGTCCAGTATTTTCACAACTAAAAAAAAAAGTTAGAGAAGAAACTTTATAGGTCCCATAGAAATCAACAGATAAACTCAATATCCAACAGAGCTCCTTTTTAGTTTAGTTTCCCACCCCCACTCCTACTCCTACCCCCAGAGAGACAAATAGCTTCATTAGAAATTTCAGAAGCAGCAGAGTGTGTGATTGAGCATGCCTGTAATCCCAGAAAGGGCTCCTATTGATACCAGGCTATGCACAATGAAGAAACCACCATGCCAAGAGGCACTCAGAAGCTTTGTGTTCCATCAACAATAACAGAAAGGAAGGGAAGAGGGGCTGGAAGGGAGGCCAGGCCCAGGTAGGCTTCCTCACACTGGGGATCCTAAATTAGTCACTGAAGACAGAGTCTTTATTACACAGTTAGCAGGCAGCAGGCGGCCCACTGTTACAAAGGCCTGCAGCCCCCAAATGCACAGAACACAGCTTGGAAACAGACTAAAGAGGAAAGAACAGAAACAATACCAACAAGCCACTTCAGCTCCAATAGAGAGATGAACTGGGACGCCACGATAAATGGAGATGAGCCAGAAGCCAAGACACCGGACACAATCATGGAGACACACGTGGCATGGAGTCATGGCTCTTGTGCTGGTCTGGGCCTAAATAGGTCCGCCCAGGGGGCAGGGCCACAGGAAACTCCCAGTCCCAGGCACTGGACTGACAGATTCAGTAACCTATCAGACAAGTGCCTGCCTCCAGGGATCCAGACACGCCCATCAGGTGGGAGGCAGGTGATGGGTGGGGCGTTTCCTTCCCCCAGCATGCAGACCAGAGGCCAGACCCTACCATTCACCATGAGGCCAGTATGGCGCCATCCAGACCTGACCTCCTTACTTCAGGATTACAGTGTTCAGCCCAAGCTTGACTTTTTCCCAGGCAATATGGCTGAGCACCACTGAGTTCCTGGATTCCTCTGTCTCTCTCTCTCTCTCCCCTCTCTCCACACACACACACACACATTCCTTACCATCTTCTTGGGAGGAAAGAAGTAGGAAGTCCTACCTAGTACCCTTCCACACAGTGAAGCACAAGCCAGGCTCTTCCTACCTGTCACCTATTCGTCCTACCCACCCCCCCCCCAACACAGAGGCTCAGCCTCAAGACGTGGAAACCTAATGGT